GGCTTTGAGATATCATACAGTCCCTGAAGCACACACTTATTTACTTACTCATCAAGTGTTCATCTGGCATTGCTAGAGTGCTAAGAACATAAAAGTGAACACAATATAGTCCATGTTTTCAGGAAGGCTTTTTGTTCATCTGTATTTATAAATAATTCTACACAAAGTACAAAAATAATTAACCCTGCATATGGTTCACAGATTTCACCATATTCTCAATTGCAGTATATAAATTAATTCCATGATATAGAAATGATATTTTAACATCTGTCTCCAGTGTATGAAATATTACATGTCTGAAATATTACACTTCAGTAAAGGTGGTTACTCCCAGGCAGCAAATAAAAGTAAGAAAAGAGAATTCTCTTTAGGTAAGGAGATGCCTTTTCCTCTAGTCTAACAGAATTGTCAATAGACACCAAAGAATATAGCAGTGAAAACATATGGTTTATCTTTTCCATTCATTTGATATTTAATGTCCCTTTTTTGTGCACTCATACTTTGGTGGAGTAAAGTCTTTTTCCTTTTTATGATTCTTAGACAGATCTTATATCTCCAGTGTTCTCTTACATGAGGCATATAAGTGCCCACTAAGTGTCAGGCACAGTACTAATGCTTCTCATAGACTGCCTCAAATAATCCTCAGACCAACCCTGTAACATGACTGCCTTCACTATCATCATCTTCATTGGACAAAGAGAAGACCAAGGCACAGAGAAATGAAGTTACTAAACAAAGGCCATGTAGCTTGTCATTGACAGAGGATCTGGCAGTCTGACTCCAAAGACCTGGGCCTTAACCACCAGGCTACAAGCTGCTTTTCTCATTTAAACAATTATGTACATATTTTCATTAAGAATGTCTCAACTTGATTAGTCATTGGGATCTGTGTTCTTTTTTTAAATGTATTATCCTTCTAAATTTTATTCTTGAACAAGAAAGCTTAATCTTAGTGTTTCAATAAATAACTAAAAGAGTTGGTCAGGTTCAGCCTACATATTTTGCAAAAATTACATTAAGAATTCTTATACCTTAACCTCCAGATCTTGACAAAAATCTTGCTCTAGACACAAAATAGTTCTGATATCAAAATAAGAGCTAACTTGAGAACACAAATTACTATTGCCTTGAGCTTGATCTTTCAATATTGAGACATAGAAAACTCTTAGTGAGGAAAATATTTCCAATTAAGTTTTCTCTGCTTGAGGACTTGCTAATGTAAAAATTTCAAAAGAATGTAAAATTATCTTTTTTAATAGACTATGTAATATGTCAGGCATTATTAAACAGTTCAATAAAGGAAAAATACCTTGGGGCATTTCATCTTTTGGAAAAATATCTTGTGAAGTTGACTGGCATCAATTTTTCTTTGTCAGAAAATATAACACAAATGACCTATAATTTCAACACATTTTTATTGAATTCTCTAAAATGTAGTATGCATAGAGTTCCAAAAGTCACTATTCTAATATATATCTGTAATTACTATTTGTCATGCAGTAGTTTTTCTTGATTTGTAAAGGTGTTGAAGCATGGACTAAATCATTTACATTTTTATATGAAATTTTATTTAATTATAAATTATATCCTACTTATTTTTATTTCTAAATACATTTTAAATAGTATCCATTCTGCATTGAAGTATTACAGTATTTGTGGTTAAAGCTCACTTAGTTGTCAGAGAATGGAGACTTATTCAGGTTACCTGGAGAAATGGAGCTGATAGTAAGGTTGCCTGTAGGCATCTCAGGGAAGACAGAGATATTGGTAGCTGATGATCCTATTATCACTTTTCTTCCCCTCAGAATCAAGAGTTCATGGAACTATAGTGTTATGGGTTGAGTTCGATTGGTCCTTGTTCCTGCAGCAAGAAAGAATTAACAGAGACACAATAGAGAGGCTGAGTGAAAGTTTTATTTGATTACATTTCAACGGAGGAGCAGGCCAGAGTCAAGGTAGACAAAGGCCCTGACTTTTAGCAGAGGGTCTGTTTATCATTACTAGCCAGAGGCACTTCTTTTGATTGACAGGGTGAGGTCATTTGATTGACAACTCTAGGTACAAACACCCATTCTTCTTGGTGCCCTTGTCTTTTACCAAAAATGCACACAGAAAAGCCACGGGGAGGACAAAAACCACAATTTTATTATAAAGAGATTATGAGGAGGTGCCGTTTTGGGTGGTTTGGTTTTGTTCATCTGCACCTGCATTGGGACCTGATTGGGACCAGTCTGGCCTGGTCCTGGTAGGCAAGAAGTTATCTTCCCACAAAGCATTTGTTTTCTTCACGTGGGACCCTTTACCTGGGCAGAGTTTAGGCAGTTTATTTGCTTTGTTTGTTTGTTTGTTTGTTTGTTTTCATTAAAGTATCATTGATATACAATCTTACGAAGGTTTCACATGAACAACATTGTGGTTTCAACATTCACCCATGTTATCAAGTCCTCACTCCAGCCCCCACTGCAGTCACTGTCTATCAGAGTAGTAAGATGCTATAAAGTCATTAATTGTCTGTCTTTTCTGTGCTGTACTGCCTTCCCCGTGGCCTAACTATATTGTGATTGCTAATTAGAATGCCCTTTAATCCCCTTCTCACTCTTCCCCACCTCCCCTTCCTCACCCCTCCCTTTTGGTAACCGGTAGTCCCTTCTTGTAGTCTGTGAGTCTGCTGCTGTTTTGTTCCTTTATTTTTGCTTTGTTGTTATACTCCACAGATAAGGGAAATCATTTGGTACTTGTCTTTCTCTGCCTGGCTTATTTCACTGAGCATAAAACCCTCTAGCTCCATCTGTGGTGCTGCAAATGGTAGAATTTCTTTTCTTTTTATGCTGAGTAATATTCCATTGTGTGTATGTACCACATCTTCTCTATCCATTCATCTACTGATGGACACTTAGATTGCTTCCATTTCTTGGCTATTGTAAATAGTGCTGCGATAAACATAGGGGTGCATCTGTCTTTTTCAAACTGGGCTGCTGCATTCTTAGGGTAAATTCCTAGAAGTGGAATTCCTGGGTCAAATGGTATTTCTATTTTGAGCATTTTGAGGAACCTCCATACTGCTTTCCACAATGGTTGAACTAATTTACATTCCCACCAACAGTGTAGGAGGGTTCCCCTTTCTCCGCATCCTTGCCAGCATTTGTTGTTCCTTGTCTTTTGGATGGTGGCCATCCTTACTGGTGTGAGGGGATATCTCATTGTGGTTTTAATTTGCATTTCGAGTTTGGAAAATTCTTTTTTCCTTGAACCTTATCTTCCCCTTCCCTGGCTGCTCATGTCTGTCTTTATACCTAACATTCCTTACTACAGTGCTTCACCATCAGCTTGATGCTGGACACTGGGAAGACACTCATTTCCAGTTAAGTTCACCAAGAGTATATCCTCAGTTCTAAAAATCTAAGAAAATTCTCATCCTTTGATATTTTATATTATAACCAGACTGTCTCATATAAGAATTGGACAAAGTTGCTCCAGAGATATGAACTAAATGATTACTTTTGACAAAAATATTTGGAGTAATATTAATGTATGATGTTCAGGGTAAAATAGGATCAGGAGAAGAGGGCATATAGGAAAAGACATTTCATACATATCAGTGAGCTTCTACAATTCTTTTCTTATACAACTATACATAGAATTAAGTAGTTGTAGCTCACTCATGGTAACTCCACATCAGACCTAGCTTGCCTCAACCTTCTTCACCCATACTGAAGCAACCTCCTTGCTAGGTATGATTCAATGATTTATAAGAAATATACATTTGGTCATTCAGATAAGCAAAATACATTTCCTAGATATATTTGGTCTTCATCCACAGTTGCTGAAAACACTTCAGAGGCACAAAAGTGAAATGGGTGTCTTGTTAAATGAAGGTTGCTTTGGGACTCCACCCAAGGGCAAGGGCTGATTACCAGGAGGACCAACTGTGTAGAGTGTTGGAATTTTCAGTCCCGCCTCCTAACCTCTGAGGAAAGAAAGGGGCTGGAGGTTGAATCAGCCAATGGCCAATTACTTAGTCAATCACGACTATGTCATGAATCCCCCATAAAAATCCAAAAAAGCAGCTTTTCAGAGCATTCTGCTTGGGAAATCAGAATGCTTCCACTTGCCACCAAGTTGGGCCTCAAGCAACATGAGGTCAGAAGCTCCTTTGTTCATGACCTTGCTCTATGTATCTCTCCATTTGGCTGTTGATTCCTATCCTTTATCACATTTTTAATAAACTAATAAATGTAAGTAAATATTTTCCTGAGTTCTGTGAGCCACTCTAGTAAATTAATTGAAGGAGGTCATTGGAACCTCCAATCTGTAGCCAGTTGGTCAGAAGCACAGGTAATAGCCTGGACTCTGGATAGAAAATGTCAGAATTGAGTTGAATTCTTAGACACTCTACTGTTACCTGATAACTGCTTATTGGAGGTGTGGGGAATCCCCACCACCACCTTGGAAATAGGTCTGGAAATCCTAAAAGACTAACATACAAGATGGACTACCAAGGTCATAGTATATTTTGATGTAACTTTATTTCTGTAATGAAAATAAATAAAACCCCTATTTCACCATTGATTTTCCTATTGACATTCTGTTTCATCTTCTTAACTGCAGGTTACCTAAAAATTATCAACACAATAGAGAGAAGAACATGAACTTTGGATATTGCCTGAGCTTGTCAGATTATCATATCACTTGGGTTGCCAAGAACAGCCATCTAGAGGTGCACTTCCATGAATAAAAAGGAAAGCAACATGGAGCTAGGTCTGTACTGTCATAGATTCTTAATACTATGTCTATATTTTGCATTACTTGAGTATTAGTTATTTTTGTGACTGTTGTAATAAATTACCACAATCTTGGTGACTTAAAACAATGGAAATCCACTCTCACAGTTCTGGAAGCCAAAATCAAGGGTTTGGCAGGCCACATTTCCTCCAGAGGCTCTATGGGAGAATCCATTCATTGCATCTTCCAGTTTCTGGTGGCTACCAGCACTTCTTGGCTTGTGGCCATACCATCTGAATCTTCAAGGCCACATCTTCAAAACTCTCTCTGTTCCATCTTTGTACCATGTTCTCAACTGTGTTTGTAGTCAAATCTCCTTCTTCCTCCTGTTTATAAAGATACATGTGATTGTGTTTAGTCCCACTCAGGTAATCCAGTTTAATCTCTCCATCTCAAAATCTGTGATTTAATCACATCCACAAAGGTCTTTTTTCTTGTCATGAGATAATGTTCACAGATAACAGAATTTAGGACACAGTAATCTTTTGGGGGACAATTTTCAGCTTACCCGAACTCTTTAGTTGGCTGACAACTAAAACCAAATAAATGTAACCTCAACTGAGTCTAAATTACCCTTCTCAAACTTCCTCAATCCTAGAGCAGCCTTTGTGGTCTGACCCAGCTTGGAGATGCACCAGGATCCCAGTGTTGGTTCTGTCAGGTTCTACTGAGAAGATTCAGGGCAAATTCCTCAACTGCTCTGCTTTGTGAGAAGAATATCATCTTCATTTAACCTATTTAAAACTCTTTTTTTAAAATTGATATAACATAATATATAGCCTTGATTCTGAAGTCTACATTTGTTTTCCATCTTAATGTTTTTGAAATCAGAATGTAACTTTTAACCAATGTGCATATTTTCAGTGGTAGTTTTACAACTTTGCTGCTCATGAAAAAAACCTGTAGTTAAATTGATGATGCATCACATTTGATAGGCTGTTATAAAAGGGGATTATGTTAATACCCATCTTTGAAGATAATTATGAGGACTCATGAGTCAATGGCTGTATATGTTTATAGATACAGATACATTATATCTAGCAGAAAACAGTGTTACAGCATAAGAAAGGCACATTCTATCATGTGTCAAGAATAATTTCTCAAGTTATCCTATAGTTTAATGAAAGATCCCTCAAGATGATCCAACCCTATGAGCTCTGAATTCAGGTACCCCAAGCAACTTTCTGATTATCAGTTATGCTTTCCTTATAGAGTATTTACCACCTATATCCTAGAGCTACTACTCTGTGTGGTTATAGCAACAATAATAGGGTCTACTAAAAATTATTTCTATAGCACACTAATGACCTGGAAACAAATCTCGTGACCTTGAATATGGAATATTGGGAATTGTGGAAATAAGAATGGGTCTGTTTGTTCTTTATTTCTAACAGGCAATGACTCTCAGTGCTAATAGTTATGGTCAAATAAAAACAATGCTTTAGGGAGAACTTAGGCCACCCATTATACTCTAAGTATGAATAGTGTTACTAATTCATGCTGCAGGGTATCACAAAAGTAGACATTTCCATAACTGCTGAAATATACCAAATTGGCAGTTCTCCAGGGAGAAAGTGTAACCTTACTTTTTTCATAAGTTCTCCATTCCGCCATCTACCATGAAACCCGTTCCTGCATTAAAGAGTTCAGTGCAGAATTCTGTCTTGCATTTACAGCTGGGAATTGGAATTTGTTCCAGTGAAGTAAACTAAAGCTAAAAAAAAAAAAAGGAAAGAAAAGAAAACAGGTGTCACCAAAATATGAGCCTCTCTCCCTTTCACATTGCCTTCCCTTGTCCTTTTACAATGCCCTAACGAAATTTTTTTTTTTTTCCTTTCTCTTTTTTTTCTGCAGTTGCTCTACAGCTGTGTTTGCTTACAGGAAACTCAGGCAGGATGCTGATAAGTGGCTTGAAAAGCCAAACCACAGAACTGGCCAGAACCAGGTGCAAGATGACAAGCCAGTTCTCTGACCTGACTTTAAGCTTATTAAGCCCTAATTGCAATACATTATCTTGCTAAGATTCATGTGGTGTGGTTGGGGTGAGGAATAGAAGCACCTTGCAGGCACAATCTGCCCTGTGCAAAGGAATCTGAGAGGCTGCACAAGCACCAGCCTTTCCTGGAAACCCCTGTCCCTTTGTAGGAAATTCTGACCCTCTTGTCACTGCTCCTGCCCTCCTGGCCCTGAAAAGTCTCCCAATACCCATTTTGGAGAGTAGGTGCCATTAGAACATGAGCTCCCACCTCTCCATTCCTTGATCAAAGAATAAAACTTCTCTGCTAAACTGAACTGGGCCTCCTTCTATTGGCATAAGCAATACTGGGCAAGAGAACCCTTGTTAGAGTCCCAACCCCTCAAAGAGTGTCAGTAACATAAGCACAGAAAAATTTAAAAATAAATATAATCTGAAACCGATTTTGCTAACTTAATCCTAGAAGAAAAGGGACAGTATGAACCAAGTAACTATATTCAGGTGAGTGAATTTCTACCTTTTGCTTCAGAAACAGAAACCTCAGACTATCCAGGTGTACCAGAACATTCTATGGAGAAGACAGTGTCTGCAGAAACCCTTCCAAAGCCTACAGCTATCCCAGAGAGCTTACAAGAAGCATTTGTAAAGAGAAAAAAAAAGTTTATCGAGAGATCCTCCCAGAGACAAGAAGAAATAAAGAAGAAAACTCATACCACTGAAAAGTCTTCAATCAAAATAGTTAAGGAGAAACTTTCTGTAGGTTCACCTGTGAGTTGCCTAAAGGTTATGAATAAAGTTAGGGTGCCACTTCCTGAAGACAAGACGGACTGCGCAAGCCTTCACACACCACAGGGCTCTAAGAATATACAATGAATCCGTTGAAGTGAAACAGCAAAAGGAAGAGAATGCTAAAGAGCAAGATGTGGGTGCCCAAAGTAGAGCAAGGGCCAAAGAATTCCATAAGAAAACACTAGAGAAACTTCGAGCCAAATATACACGGTGACTTTCTATGAAAACTGTAAAGAGTTGTTTTTATTATGTAACATAGGCCACATAAGTCAATAAATTTTTTAAGAACTTAAAAAATAAATAAATAAATACATAAAATCTGAATCTTTCAAGGGACTTAAACATCAAAACCAAGAAAGAAGAACAGTCACTGCTTTCCATAAAAAAAGGATGAACAGGTCATCACTTGAGGATGACTTTGCTGATCTGAATTACTAAACAGGCAATGCCTTCCTCCCTCGTTGCTTCACATGTGTTCCCTGCACCAGCACACTTTCTTTCCCACCAAAACAACTCGATGAAACGGGATTCTCAAGACTGAAGAGGGACTCACACAAAATCACACGTATGTATATTATGCCAAATCATCCTAGGTTCAGTGGACAAATGCTGGCTCTAACCGAGGCAGGGATTTACAGTTTGGTCCCAACATTCTCATAGCTGTGTGGGGTACATCCATAAGACTATAAGGCCATGAGGAAGAACAGAGAAATGGAGCTCAGGTTTCAAGTCACAAATAACTAAGAGGTGCTGTATATTTATCCCTAACTCACAATGCACTTGATGAAGGAACAGATGGACTGAAAGAAAGGCAAGGGGCTGAGCTGGATATCTGTCAATCATTGCAGGTTAATTTGATCTAGCAGAATAGCCTCCAAATGGAATCACAAAATGTTACGGTAGAAAAATTAAAACACTGACAATTAGTATAAGGCAGTTTAGGATTTAACAGAAGTAGCTATTATCTATGTGGTTCATAACACTTTCTCTGAACCTTGGATTTATAATAATAATGTTTAAAAAAGAAAGAAAGAAAAATAGTAAGAGCTATGATGTACTGTTGAACACTTATTATGTGTGAAGCATAGTACCCAGTACTCTACATATACTATTTCATTTACTCTTCATAACTCTGTGAGATGGAATTATTATCCCTAATGAAATATGAGGAAAATGAGCCTTGTCAGGGTGAAGTTGGCATTTTCCCAAGGGTACAAAGTTTGCATATAGCATAACCAGGATTTGAACCCTGGTGTATCTTCTCAGAGGTGGTGCTTGAAACTGTAACTAAAAGTCATGGAAGTGAAGCAGTGGGAAGACAACTTCTTGCCTATCTGCACACTTGGTGAAATAATGTACGTGAAAAATAGTTATAAGCTACTGAAGTGAATGAATAATTCCTATTTCTTAATCACTTTTGTTCTTATCTGTCAAGAAACAGCTCAAATGGCACTTGCTTCCTGGAACATTCCCTGTGCCTCCCCCTGCATTCCTTGTACCACTATTTAGAACTTATTTCTGCCTGTGTCATTAAGCCCAGGGCAAGAAGGGTGCCTGGCACATAGCTGGTAAGCCAATGCTGGGCTGTATTACTGTTGTATTATCGTGGTCATTATTTCTGTGGATGAATCATGTTTTCAATTTATAATTATCTTGTTTTTATTAAGGTTTTGTATGTCCTCCACTTAAGTACGTATACTTTTCAAAGAAGTAAGAAAGCCTATTTATTTTGATTTTAGTAAATAATATTGTGAACTCATTTATGTGAAAGGAATATGAAGAAGGAGATTTGATGACTGCTATAATAACTCAGCTAGAAGGACAGTCTGAATAACAGATGAAAGAAACATGAATTAGAGGAAGATTTCATAGAAAAGTTTGTAAATGGTAATTTTGTTTCCATGATCTTAACTATGTTATTACATTCACCATATCAAAGCAGGTTAATTTTGATTACTTAGTAAGTCCTTGGCCTATTTTGTTTAATCCTAAAACAACTTTTCCTTGCCTCTAATTTTGCCAAAATTGTAAATACAAGTTTGAAATACATTTTTTTCTTTGGAACTACGACAATAAATATATCTTATTCAATTTTTTGCTTCCACTGTTGTTGTTGAAATGGAAATATTTCTATGGGATTTACAAAGTGACAGACTAGGATATTTTGATGTCAATGCATACAGAATACTGATATTTTAGTAGTTCTTTTTCTGATTTTAATGCTTTTGAAGATAATTTTTTTTAATAGACCAGGGCATAATAAATTTTGAGACAATTCAGGGCAAAGTCCAAACTATGCCTTATTAACTTTGCCACCTCCTACTGTAACCATATTTAGTATATTATGAACTTATTTTGAAAATGAAGATCCTCTCACCTATGTAGATACAGCCAAAATATGTTTGTTGATCCAAACAAATAATAAATTAAATCTTGAAATAGATACATTTTGGTAAATGTAGGCAAAATCTGTGATTCAATTTCAACACTTTAAAGTATAAGAAAGTTATTTCTATCATTTTTCAAGAATAATTCACTCTAAGAACTAGATAAACTCTTCCCATTTATATATTTAACACAAATTAATTCTATGAACATTATTTGTATTTAATATAATGCTTTTTCGTATTTTTAAGAATTATAGGTATTTATTCCTTAACATACTATTTCAGGTAACGGAGTAATTTCAGAGGGGATCTGAAAAAAATTGAGAAAGTAGAAGTAGTCAGAAAAGAAACTTCAACTCACTTCTGCCACCATATTTACCAACCCACCAAAAGTTTCACCCATAATCTGCCCTCCCTCCTATAATAGTGGATGAACGATATCTTTAGTTATACTTTAGATCAACCCCTCCCCCTGTATGCTGGATCCCATTTTGTTACTTAATTAAATACATTGTTGCTGGAATTAGTCTCTTCTTTCTCTTGCAGCATCCTTTCTTCCCGCTTTTTCTCTGGGATCATTCCCTTCAGTATGTTATAACTTCCAAGTTTATGAAGCTTTCCCCTTGCTACCACTTCTCCTGTGCAACTGCCAAATTCTCAGTTTTGCTTGCACGTTTCTTAAAAGGGTTGTCTATGTTTTTCATCTCCTGTGCCACCTCCCTCATTCTCTCTAGAAACACTCCAATCAGCATTTTGTCCAATCACTCCACTGAAACCACTCTCCCTGTGACCGCACACGGAAGCCTTGTAAGTTCTTTTAAAACAAGATGTCAGGTCAGGTCACTCCTCTGGTTAGAAGCCTCCAGTGTCTGTCCATCTTTCTGAGAGCAAACCCATGCCCGGGCCATGCAGTATCAGGGCCTCTGTGATCCACCACTAGCTAGGAGCGCTCTGTGTCTGCCTTGGAATTCATTTCCTACCAGTCTGTCATCATGTGCATTTCTGCAGCCATACCAACCTCTGTGCTGTTTCTGAAAACACACAAAACGTATTTCCCTCAAGACATGCATTTGTACTTGCTGCTGCCTCGTCCTAGAATGACTCAAACTTCTGTCACTTCATCAGAGAGGCTTTTCTTGACTACTGTGTATCCAATAGCTGCATCCTCTCATCACTTCCTAGACTCAGTGTCCTGCCTTTATTAGTTCTTACTCTTACCACCTGAGTGTTTATTGACTATCTCTCCCACTACAAAAGAAGGTCGTGAAAGTAGGGACTTTCTCTCTCCTATGTCTAGAACATAGTAGGTGCTCAACACAAATTTGTTTGATGAATGATTACACATCTTGAAATTTGGGGGATAAATAATTTTCTAAATAGAATATTTACTTTTCCCTTTCATTTATAATCTGTTTAGAGATCATAGTTAAAGAAAGTGAAGATTCAAGGGAAAAGCTTTCAATTTTTTTTTAGTTAATTATATTACATGGATCAAACCAGTTTTGAAGATAGAAGAGTACTTCCAGTCTAAATGATACATTTTGTCATGTTTTTTCTTTGTTGTTAAAAAGTCACAGAAGAAGAGCAGTTTTGAAAATGCTAAAATGATTCTTATATTCTTATGCATTATGATGAAAAGTCCAGGCATAAAAGCAATGCAAAGCAGATAAAAGACTTTCAAAGCTCCATGGAAGCCTTTCAGACTCAACTGGCTACAGAGACAAGAGAGATAATATGAGTGAAATAGGCCAATTAAAAACTACAAGGAAAAAGTCTGAATGTGTCACTGGAGCTTTATGCTCTGACTAGTAATCACTAAAAAAATCCCTACTGTGTCAGTAAAAATAAACGTCTGCTTGTAGGTATGTCCTTGTCAGTTTGTGACCTCTATTACAGGAAGAAAAATATCAGAGGAAATCCTAAGTATCACAGAGCTACAAGATTTCCTGACTTAGGCAGATGATCTCTCCTCCTCTTGGAAATCAAGAATGAATCTTTAAAAAAGGCTGCATTAGAGTGTCAGCTCTAGAAATCCAACTGCAGATAAGAATAGAATGCTGCTCAATGGTTAAATGAAAAGGAGAGCTTAAAATAATATCCTCATATGTCATTTAGGGAAATAAGGGGAAATATTATAATTCTTTCCACATGGCTCTTTAAATATCATTACAGTCAATTACTGGTCATACTCATCCTTAGGGTAGAGAGGTAAGAATTCACAGAGTCCTACTTTGGGCTCACATGTACTCACTTTGGGCTTTATGTATCAGTCCATATATAGAGACTCTGATCATAAATGCATCCATTTGTGAAGTGAATTTTTCAGTGTAATTCCTAACACTCAAAAAGCTCATCTCTTATGCTCAATTTCACTTTAATTTTCTAACTGAATAGTTCAGTGAATATGCTAGCAAAGCATATTCAGGTGCTATAAGTCTTTAGACTTTTTTGGCAAAACTAAGCTGAGCCTTTAATGATTGATAATTCAGGGAGCTAGTATCATAAAGCTAAACTTTCCATGAGAAATGAGATACAGATTAGAAACTACTATTACTGAAAATTCATTTCAATTAATAAAGTTCTGAGAATTATTTTCTTTCAAAAAATCAGCATAGCAAATCCATTTTAAATTATATTCTCCTGTGTTGTTACATACTAAATAAATATTCTGTGCCAGATAAAACTGTAGCAGAAAGGGCTTAAATAACTCTCTAGAGTTTGCCACAACCTGTTGTTCTCCAGAAGCTTCCAAATAATGAAGCATTTCTCAATTTTCACAAATAGAGCAATAGAGTGCATAATGTAAATTAAGCACACCGGCAAGCTCCTTCACACATGTGCATGTGCACACACACACTCAAATACAGACCCTCATAATACTCACTCATACAATAAATGGATATTTAAGAAAAGTTGGAAATTAAAGTTAGCTCAAATTAATTGCTTTCCAGTAAAAACAATCAACATTAGAGTATAATAATTTGATTTCTCTTTCAACTTTCAGGTTTTATATTTGGTAGGAAGTTTAGGTGAGTTTCATTCATCTGATGAATGATACATTAAAAATTTTTGTGTATCTACCTGATAGATTAGAAGATTTTCTCCTTTTTTTTCTTATTGTTCTATGCTCATACTTTCCAATGATAAAAGCATTCTCTCTTTCAAAAAGGAAATTAATATTCTTTCTTTTGTTTTGATTTTTTTTATTTCCAGAAATGCCCATGAAGAAAATTACGGTTATGGTCAAGTATCAGGAAACAAAGTACAGAGGAATTCTATATCAATGATGAAGAGTTACAAAATTAGGGTGGGTAGGGGAGGAAAAGACAAAATAATGCTCAACATTGTTTTGATTGAACCTTAGCTACACTTTTTAAAACATTAGCCATGGAAAGATGGTCATTTTGCACCTATAAAGCTACAGAAGACCAGAAGCATTGCTGAATTAACAGCACTTGGAAGGCAGAGTGAGACATTATTTCAAGTTTATGCAATAAGAAGCCTCATGTGGTCTCTTGGGAGGTGCATCCCAGCCACTGAACTTTGAAAAGGAGTCAATGCTGCTGCTGGTGACTGGTCCCCAGGCTCCTTGGCCCTGGGTCACTATCAATCATAAGCCTTCCCTAAGAGCACAGTTGGCCATCATGGACTTGCAGGAGAGCTGATGAATCATTTTAAGGTTTCTTTCAGCTTTATTCACTAGTTGGATTTGTGAACTTGTATTTTTTTATCTTCACTTTTATTTTCTTTGAAGACATATTTTAGCTTTCCGACAGCATAAATTCTGCTTATAGGTGCTGGACTTACTGCTCTCTCTCTACTTATATCTGTCTGTCTTTGTCTCTATCATCTGTATCTTTATCTCTCTCTCTCATCTCTCTAATCAATGTCTCTATCATGTCTATCTCTCTGTCACTCTTCGTGGCTTGGGGTAAATGTTAACACTTTTGCTTGACTGAAGACTATCATTTTAGAAACTAAAATAGATTTATTTTCTACCAAGAGGGTGCAGGTGGCAGCTGTTCTCCCATGAGAATGCAAACTCCTTGGTAGGGAACCCTGCCTTGTTCGTTATTGTAATCCTTGTGCCTTCACAGTGCCAGCTTTAAATAATAATTGTTTGGTTCTAAGATGTTGTTAAGTTCTAAAGGTTTGCTTACACAATTGATGATTGTCTGGTTGACTACAGATGACTATAAAATATGAAAACTGGTTCTTATTCCAAGATTAACTGATTTGTCATTTAACGATTTCATTCATTCACTTCAACTATTATCTACCTAATGCCTATTGTGTGTCAGGAGCTGTCCTCTACAGCAGTGAACCTGTCCCTGTAGAGCTGACATTCTAGAGGAAGAAAACACACAATAAGTAAGTAAGCAAATAAATATGTAACATGGAATGTGACAACAAGTTAAATGATGAAAGCTGAAACTGGTATGCCTGGGGATGCTATTTTATGGAAGGCAATGAGGGAAAACCACTTGAAGAAAAAGAGAGCATGAATCATTTGTTGGGGGAAGAGCATTCCAGGCAGAGGGAATGAGCAGTATAAAGGTACTAGGGAAGGAGTGTGTTTGACAGGTTCAAGGAACAGCCCAGAAGCCAATATGGCTGTAGAGTGGTGAGGTGTTGAGCATGGGGGTATGGCAGAAGAGTTCAGAGAGGGGCTTGTGTTCAAGTAGGGAGAGCAAATCATGGAGGACCTTATAAGGTCTTTTAAGGCCAAATAGTGGGGAACTTTTGGAAGGTTTTGAGTGGAAGAATAAGACACAGATACTATTTTCAAAGGATCAGTCTGACTGCAGTGTGTAGAAACATGAAAGATCATAGATGCTGTAAGAGAAGACGATTAGGTGCTATTGGACCAAGATGGTAGGGGGAGAGGTCATGTAAAGTGTTCAAATTGTGGATACAATTGATTCTTGTTATTCACAGTAGTTATATTCTACAGTTTCTGGAAATACTGAATAAATGATATTTGAACCATTGTTTCTAGGGGAAACGTAAGGTTAGGTTCCTGTGAGCCTCTGATCACAAGATAACATTTCTGTCAACAAGTCAGTACCTAACTTTGTAATATATGTGCTTCACTTTCAAGAAATCTTGTTTAATGCATATATTGTTGATTAACATCAGATTCACAGTCAACAGCATTGCAACTCATGCCTATTTAACACATATTCATTTTCTCTGTAAAGCACCTTTTTGTGTTAAGAACTCTAGACAACACTTCAAATACTATGGTTGGGCCATTTTAAACAGTGGAATCAACAACAAAAACACACAAACGAGTAATACATGACAAAATGACACTGACTACAGCGTGAGAACTGAAATAAGAATGCAGAGTGTTACTTTGTTGGCCCACAGCTGGGAGACTCAAGTTTTTGGCTGCTCTGGCATGTCTGCACATGGCCACAAAGGCACCATATTGATTTTGGGGAAACAAATATTTAATTTCAGCACATAGATAAATTCACAAATAAAGAATCCTTGGCTAATGAGGATTAGCTGTACTTTTCAACCACATGGGCTAATCCAGTTTTGCTGATTACTTGGAATTCTTTTTAAGTTTTCTTTTAAATTTTATCTCCCACTTTTT